GCTCCACTGTTTCGGAGAAATAAAACAATGTTTTCCCCCTAAATAATTCTATGTCCCCGTAAATGATGGAGGAATTCGATGGAACAAAGTGGAGCTTGAATTCGATGCCTCCGTGCTGAGGGGGGAGTAAAGTCTGTCTGTCTCCCGTCACACTTTGGTTTCACTACAATCCGAGGCGTGTCCCAGCATAAAATAAAAACCCGGAATTGTGGTTTTCGACACAGTGGACGCAAGCAAAAGCGCGCTAAATCGTGTGTTCGTTAAACAAAACTGCCGTTCATCCAAAATGTAACGTACAGTAGGATTTCTACACGCACGAAATAATGATCTGAATAAAATGCAGGGGAGGAAAGGTTGCCCCTTTTAAAATTATCCTCTCCTTCGAATGAGTCAACATCTCAGATTTGCATTGTTTTCAACTTTTTCAATTCTTAAAAACAACCCGCGTAGGTACACGACGATGGGGGATGTTCAAACTCCACTGAAATCCAGATCGGACGCCCCAGTAGATGATTCGGATTCATCACAAAATTCTACTCTTTCTCAGGATGATCAAACCCTACCTTCAACTCCTGCTTCACGCAATAATTCTCCTCAGTTGCCACCAAGATTGAAATACAGACCTGGGGCAACAGACAACTTCCTTGAATCCTTGCCGTCCAACCACAGGTTCACTTCTGCAAGAATACAGCCTCTGGATGAACCTGTTTGCAATATTGGAAATTGTCGGCTTGAAATATCTACACAGGAGTCTTTTCCGCAGCATGTTTTAAACCAAAAGAACGAGAAAATGCTTTATCAAGTCGTTTATCGTGGGGTAGTCAGTCTTCTTCGTGAACCAGGCATCAAAAGTGGAGTACATATTGGATACGGAGAGATATTTGAAGGAATAGCTCTTGAATCAAACGATGAACATGCTCCGTCGTGGACACGCGTCACCAACATCCTCACAGGTGGATATGCTGTTGATGCTGCGAACACAAAAAATGTTGCGATATTGGACCAGACTCCAAAAAGGACAAACGTCGCGAATGTTGCTGCTGTAAGAACATCATCAATTTCATTACCCATACCTTTGCCCAGCAGCAGAAGCGGGGAGGAAAGCTCAGTTGTCGACGTCACAAAAAGCGAGAGCGACAGTGACAGCAGATATGGCTACATTTTCGAAACCAAAGGAGATATTCCAATTTGCATCCCGATCAACTTCATACCAAAAGTTGAAGTTGGAGAATTCGTCTACAAAGTTATTTCGTCGAACCCTGTTCCAATAAGAACTGGTCCTGCATTGGATGCCCCTTGTACCACTGTGGCACTGATGCCTGGCACAAGTCACGAGGTCTGCCTTCGAGTGCTGGCGGCTGATCGATCCTTGGTTTTCCTGCGTTTGACAAGACGGCGTGGTTGGTTAATGGAAAAGAGGCAATCGCGAAAATATCCAGAGCGGCTAGTCCGTGTCATGCACGATATCACCGACTCGAAGGAATCACAAAGCTGCAATATGTCGTTTGCTTCAAGCAGCTCCTCTTCGTTAGTAGCGACACCGGGCTCAGCGGCAAGACGTCGCCATCGACCACCCCGACGTCGTCGCGAAATGCAAATCGATGAAAGCTCGCATTCTCCGTCTCATGTGAATACCTCGTCGAGTTTTTGGCAGGATTCTCCGAACAATAGTTTTGACATGAGTTCATTTGGAAGAGGTATTAAATCCCCTTCATCCAATGCATCAATGCTCTTGGAGGGATCCTCGTTGCCAGTGGTGCAGAGAGAAAAGGAAGGAAGAACTGATACAGAATCAGCTCCGTTGTCAGACACTTCTCAGACTGGTTTCTTTTTGATCCGAGTAAGCGCACCTCGCGGATTAAAGATATTGGATGCTCCACACTTTCAGGTAAACAACCTTATCCATGGAAAACACACACCAATTTCTAATAAAATTCAAGCGAAGGGTAAAAACGAGCCAGGAACTACGAAACAATCTATCTTCCAAACAATGACTGGGCACCATACAACAGCTCTGACCAGCAAGACTGGAAGTCCAGCGGTATTTGATTCTGTGCTTCGGGCCAGGAAACTTCCACGTGGTTGTGTCTTTGAAGCATCAAAGAGAATGGATAGTAAGGGAGCTTTTGGTGAAGGAGATGGATTGATAAAGCTATCTGACAACAGCGGGTGGGCCATTGTTCCAAAGCAGGAAGAACTAGAAATGCAGTACAAAACTTACTCAGGATCACTGGCCAAGGCGATGGAAGGAGAAGTGACGCGTGCATTTGAAGAAGTCGGAAATGCAATTGTCAAAGACAAGACTCAACCTGTATTCATGAGAGTATATAACAAGGGTGGTATTGCGGTTTCGTGCCCCCCAGCTTCCTCTTTGATGACTGATGATGAGACATCAATCACGTCTCCTGGGTCCTCTGTTGCAGGCACATCTGCAGTCAATGGAGGCTTTGGTCATGCACCAAGTCAGGACTCAGACATAGCGTCATCAGTTGGAAGCTCCTTTATTGACGCTATGTTTCGCACACCCAAGAAGAAAGACTTTGACCACGTATCCCTTGCAAGTTCGAAGGATGGAGCGCAATCTAACAAAATTCCTCCAATCGACAAAACTGCCATATCAACTGTGATACCATGCGGGATGTATTTTGAGGTGGACCCTTGGGTAGATGTCCGTAATTCTGAGCAATCGTACTGTTCGAATGATTTTGCAAGGATTCGTGGAGGGCAGGGTTGGATCCCAAGATTCGTGCAGGGAAAAACTGTTGTGAATGTAATCCAAGGACCAAACGTTAGGTTTGGGTCCTTCTGGTTCAGAGTCTCCCAGAAAGAAGGGATCAAAGTCCGAAAAGGGCCATCTACAAGGGCCCCTTCTATTCGGAGAGAGGATGGAGTCTATTTTCGGTTTGAATGTGGCGAATATCTTCGCGCTTCTGAAGTGGTCACGTTCTCCCGCGACAATATTGCCTATGAGAGTTTTGCCAAGTTGTATAGAAATCGTCACATGCGATTTCAGTCAGGAGAAGATGGAGAAAGGACTCTCGCAAGCCTGACTGCTCAGTCAGAATGGGTTCAGATTTCTAGCTCCAAGACCATTCAGCTGGTTGAGTGTTTGGTGGAACCACGAATTGAACGACATCGACAGGGGTGGAGATACAACGTTGTACTTGATGCGAAAGTCAAAGTACGTCGAGGGCCCTCATTTGAAGCCGATTCAAAGGGCATAGTTCTTTTTGGTGGGGAAAGTGTCTTGGTGAATGAACGGGTCATCGTACCCAATGGAAACGTTATCTGGCTCCGACTTCGAGATGGTCGGGGCTGGGTTCACAATGTTGGGATAGACGGTGAAGCGCTCATGATTCCGCATTCATTGAAGAATCGACGAACTACTGGCGGCAACAAACAATCCAAATCAAAAGAAAGAGATGATGACATAGCCTACAATACGATCATTGCGAGGCTGTTCCACAACGAATCTGACAGTGGTTCACAGCAAAATCAAGGGAATCACAGGTAGCATAGAATAATATGCCCCACAGTTGTTCTGCAGTAAGCTCTACAGTGCTCCTTCTTAGGGTTCTTCATCTTGAATTTGTCTTAATAACATCCCACTTCAAGCCTCTTTGGAGGGAAGAAGAAAAGCACATATCTCTGTTGGCATGTGCCTTATTGCCTTCCTGGTGGGCAATCTACTGTATTTCATGACGGAAAGAAGGAATTTTTAAAATCGGTATAAGTTTACGGTACTGATTCCAGAAAGTTTTACAGGGAGCCGCTTTTCTTTGAGGTGCGCCGCCATAATAAACGTACACAAAAAACGTGCACCCCCACGGACGCATAGTACTTTTGGATCTTGGAAGATTTGCTCCCGGGAAGGTTTCTGGTGAGGGTATAAGTTGTAATTTTGTGCATTCTATAACTATTATGGACTGTCTGCCCGTCTGTGTCATTGACTTGTGCGTAATCATACTTCAAATGCTTCTCAAATTCGTAACCTTGCTTCAACGTCTCATTCATTTTGTTCTTTGTAGCTTGATCTTCAGTTGTCTTTGACAATGTGGCGCCAAAAGCATGCAATGGCTCATGAAAATTGCTCGTCACATTCTTGATTGCCAATTGTTTTGAGATAACTGCTTTCAGCACACCATGCGTTGGTCGTTTCAAGTGACGGATCATGCTTGTCGCAGCATCGACGGTCTTGATCATTTTTTGCCAGCTGATTCCAAGTTGTTTTGGACAAGCATCCCAAATTGTCTTCTCTTCCAAGGGTTCACCACCATAAGCTAAAGCAAAAAGACAGCGGAGAAGAATTGAACGGTCATCAAGAGCCAGCCGTGTCAATGCATATATTGACTGCAGCTTCATTGCACCAGCCACCAGGCCATTGATCTCGCCCTTACTACGCGGCTCACTTGGGACCTTCTGCATCTACAACGCCGCTCTGCTGGGTGGATATCCAACGATGCCAAGTCCTGCTTTGACTGGATTGTCCACTGGGTGGCAATCATTAGCCTTATGCGTTTGGGATCAAATGGCATACCCTTCGCTCCATGTTTGAGACCCTGATGAAGTCTAAGCACCGGGTGCGTACGGGGTTTGGTGATTTGGACCGTGTCTTCACTCCTCTGACCCTGATCTTGTTCCAAGGATATATATAACTGATGCATTAATCGTATTAAAACTATCTCAAGTTTCTAAATTGCCGTTAACGGCTGTCATGGCCATTTACCATACGGAGGTGAGTCCAGTACTGTTGAACCAGCTTGAGGCATCCAATCCCAGGAAAGTTGCTCTGTCGCATATTACAGTGCACCCTTGCACATGTAGAAACGATCTTGCCACTCGGGGCGGCGTATGTTGTTTTTGAGTTCTTGAAGGTGGTGGTGGGCATGATTGTGTAGCAGGTGAGAAGCCAATTGTTCTTGCGCCCTACTGCCATGGGTGTATCGATCCAAGTGAATGGAGAGCGTCCCAATAGCACAGTGTTCCAGAACAATGTGCCCACCATCTACGTGACAGACTGCAGGTCCCTAGTCGTGTGATCGACAGTGACAGAATTCTAATAGGAACGGGACTCGTGACTCGGCCTATAGGATTACCAGCAGGGTGAGAGTGAAACATAGAGGGGGCAGATAGATGGCCGAGACATCTGTCTGTTTATGGACTTGCGCCGGGTGGCCGAGTCGATGTTGGGTTGGCGGGTCGCGCCAGGTCAAAGATCATCTGGCGTTGCCTGGCTAGAGAGCGACGGTTGATCGCTCTCTCACGGAAGACAAGGCGCAGCCAATGTTGACGATCTTCAAGTGATTTGTTGAGGACAGTTTCGCAAGAGTCACGAAAGAGGTACTGGGATCGTTGGGGGATATCCATCAGGCCCATGGCAAACTGTCAATCTCCCGCTTGCGAGCCGTGTACCAGGAGCTGTCTTCAGAGTGGGCAAGCTGGTTGCGGTCTTTCCACATGTAGTGCCCGATTCGGATCAGTTGTTGGATCAGGCGGGAGGCCCAAAGGTTGGTGGACTTCTTGGAGCCAATGTAGGAGAAGTGAAGGGCTTGCAGGTGTTTCCATTTGTGAGACACTAGGCCCTCAAGGAGGCCCTGGGCCCCAAGCTCGGCTTGGGAGGAGATTGCGCTTCGGAAGAGATGGAGCTGGTGAGACCAGGCACGGACGGTGGTGACTCCCAAGGAAGGCTGGCGGACTATCTTCAGGTATTCAAAGAGGAAGACTTCAATCTCTGGGGCGGTCTGCTGAGTTTGCATCCAGGTCCGGAAGGCCAGGTGGCGTTTGGACCATTCAGCAGCTGCAGTACGGGCAGAACAGCGGGGAACATGGAGGTGATCTTCCACCGGGCAGGAGGAGCATCTGGGGCAAGAGCTCATCGCCGAACGGTTCCAAATGGCCAATAATTTTCCCACCCCTGTCATACCGGAGATATGCTTGGGTGTCCAGCGTTGGAGATTGGCTGGAAGGGCTTTCATGGCGCGTGCAAGAGACAACCAATCGACCTCACGTATGGACTGCTCGGAGAGGCGGTCCTTGGAGGACCAATATGCCCAAAGGGCCGGAAGAGAGACAAGCTCCATGATGTGAGCTTTATCCAATCGGGACAACTTGATGCAATAAATGAATAAAGCCACAGGCTTGTGGAAGAAGCGGGGGTTGGAGGCAGCAGATTGGCCTGTAGACTCAAGCAGGCGGCGGTAGGCTTCTGCTTTGGAGTCAACTTCAACATTGCGCTGCTCCCACCAGTCCAGTTGGGAGAAAGGCCCGATGCTTGTCTAGGTGGCCTTTAACATGGCGCCGCTGGACTTGGAGAGGGAGGTGGCGAAGCAGGGCCCGGATGGTGGAGGCCAAGTCAAACTGGGCGCCAGACGAGGACAGATGGGCTTCGGAGAAGGGCTTATCAAGGGCAATGAGACCATCGCAGGCCATCTCGACCGAAGGTTGGCTGGCAAAGAGTTTCAGTTGAGCAACCTGAGACATCCATTCCAAAACCAGAAGAGAAGCCATAAGGCCAATCAATTCACTACGAGTTGAGCTCTGATCTTCAAATTTCCCTGGAGTTTGGCAGGTGATCCAGATGATATCACTGCGATCCTCAGTTAGAATATGGGCGCATGCTGTGCCCACTTTAGCTTTGTATGAGCCGTCGCTCACAGCACAAAGGGTACCGGCAAGAAGGGCCTGAACAAGGCAATCCTCACTACCTTCAATGGTAATGACCTCTGGAACCCAGCCGTGAGAACCTGACTCAGCCAGACTGCCAAAGTGGTGCCAAAGATCAAGGATGGAAGATGGGGGGCAGGTGTTTCGGCTGGTTGATGGGGGCCAGTAGAGTGGAGGAGGACTCGACTCTTGTGGACTGGGGACCGGCTGGGGAAGACAGAGACCGAGGCACGGACGGCGTCCGCTGGTAGAGGTGGAAGGTCGAGGTTGAATTGGCGAGGCAAGTAGAAGGTGCGCTGACGGCTGGTGGAGGAAGTAGGCTCAGATGGGATCCATATCTGACCCTCATGGTGGAACAGGGTGTTGGTAGAGGGGGAGTATTGCCACTTCCAGGTCAAGTTGACAGAATGCCACGGGCCTAACGGAGAACTGAGACGGCGTCGGTTGGAGTGGCCTGTCAGATGAGTAGAAATCCATTGCTGCCATGCAGTCTACCACTGATTAGACGGACGAGCTGTACGTGGCCATTGGTACCGGTCAGCACAGTGTTCTGGTCTTATCCCTTTCCATGCCTGCAAAGTGATTGCTGTCCCTTCAGCATTCAGGATATCAGAGAGATTGGCTGCGTGGAGGAAGATCCGACACCAGTTGAGCCATTTCAATGTAAGTTGATCCACCAACGAGTTGATGAACAAGTTCACTAACAGTTGATCCCCTTGGCGCAGTGGTTGGAGGTAGGGAGAATCAAACTCCAGGTGAATGGAGAGAGAATCAAGTTCACTCCAGGTACGCTTAGCCCACGTGTCAGACGCCAGGATGGAGGTGTTGGAATAGGCTTGTTGGAAGAGGCCATAGGAGGTACCGGTCTTGAGCTGATGAGCCTGGAGGACTGCCTCTAAGAAGGCGCCCGTCTTGGTGTTATTAGCAGAATGGCGAAGTAGCATGTCCAAGTGTTTGATGACTTGGAGACCGTACGGATGAGAGACGCCCACTCCTTGGAGTGCAATGGGGGTATAGACCATAGCACGAGGAAAGGTGCGGCAGATACCGGCCTTGGGCAGTGCCGCCCGGAGCACTGGGGATAGCATCTGTTCCCACTCCTATTGAGAGATGAAAGTGAGCGCTATTGGGTACTCCAAAGTTTTCTGGATTGTGGTGCGTAGGAGAGGAAGGACATCATATTGCTGGAGGAAGCTAGGTTAAATCTGATCCGCCCATGCTTTTGCTTTCCCCTTCATAACCATAAGTTGTGCTTTCCTGTTGGAGCAGGGGGACATCAGAATACCCAAAGTCTTGGCGGATTCATCCGGTTCCAGCCACGGTAGATACACTGGGGTGCCATCCAGATCATCCAGTTTGACCGCAATTTCCGACATGCCTGTTGGAAGAAGAGATGGTTTGAAATCTCGCTTCTTCCAGAATTGTCATACGCCTTGTTGCAAGTTCCACTTGAAGTCAATCAGATACCAAAAGGATTTATCTGATCAGATGGCACCACCAGTAAGGCGGACGCCGTTAGACCACCATTTCAGTGCTTTGGCCACCTCTGGGACAATAGATTCCCCGGACTGGTCAGGAGATGGTGCAGCTTGGCAGACGTCAGTATCATCCACAAAACAGAAGCAATTGGCCAGGACGGGGGCCCAAGATATCGACATCAGGAAGTCAAAGCCAAAGCCCTTACTGATCATCATCCCCAAGAGAATGAAGCTAATTGCTACCCATATTGGAGGTCCTGCTCCATTGCCTTGTCCGCATCCTTGAAATGGTATCCGGGTCGGAGGAGTAAAGACACGGTCTGAATCTCCAAATCCCGTACGCACCCGGTGCTTAGACTTCATCAGGATATCAAACATGGAGCGGAGGGTACGCCATTGGATCCCAAAGCGCATGAGTCTAATGATTGCCACTCAGTGGACAATCCGATCAAAGCACAAATTGGCATCGTTGGAGATCCACCCGGCAGGGCGGCGTTGAAGATGCAAGAGGTCCCAGGTGAGACGCTTTGTAAGGGCCAGATGAATGGCCTGGTGACGCTTGCGAGACCCGTGTTGTCGTTTTGGGATCAGTTTGTGTTACTCTGCATAGGCCATGGCCGATTTCCCCTCTCGTTTGTTGTTGGCCTGCAGCTCTGAATTCATCATTTGAATCGTGCGCATGAGGTCCACCCGAATCTCGCCTGGTTTCTTCTCAATTGCAAAGTTGAGCAAGTGGCACCACTGGGCTGGGACAAATCCTGTAGCAAAAGGGATGGAGCGAAAGATTGTGTCACAGCAGGCAAGCAAGTTGGATGCTACTCCCGCTTTGAAATGGCCATTATGCAAGCCGTGTGGCTCCGAACCTTTGTGTTCCCCCATCTTACGCCAGAAGCTAACATGGTCCTCCAGATCCACTTCCAGTGGCTGGTCTTCCAAGCCCTCCGGCCGTTGGCAATGATCCAGGAATGACACCAGGTAAGGATCCGCTGTCTCGCCTTCATAGAGACCACGGAGCAGTGCTTGGCTGTTCTGTTCTGCCTTGGGGCCGTTGAAGTCGGAGTACAAGGGTTCAGTCATTGGTGGGGTGGAGTAGGGGTAACAAGTCTGGTCATACCGGAGCCGGTTCTCCTGCATGCATCCCTCCTCCACCAGACTTTTAGACTGGCATGTGACCCAATGGGAGGAACCATCTTGTGCCACCTGGGCCACTTTAATCTACTGTAGGCCGCCAGAAAAGCCCTTGCCTTGGGCTCTCCTTCGCCGTCTGGTCTCCTCCTTCTGTGCCATCCGTTGGACGCGAGTCCGTCTGCTGCGAGCCTTGATGTTGCCCTTCTTTGCTTTCTGGACCGCTGCTGATTGGGACTCCAGGTACTCCAGGCGCCACTGATGTGCACGCTTCCGTTTGACCTCCTTGTATGCTTGGTGTTCAACGTACCACTTTGCCTGTAGGTCAGCTTCCGATAATTTCCACGCATCACTCAGCCCTGTTTTCTTCAACAAACGCCGGACCTTCCGTGAACTAGTTCTGACCTGCTTATAGCCCAAGATCAGGAGCTGGTAAAGGTGCAACCTATCCCATTTCTGCTGCATTTGTGGTGACCAGTGGACTTTACCCATTGACAGTTTCCGACAGTTACACTCAGCATGGCGGCGGATCTCATAGGCCTGGCGATGAATGGTGTTGAATCGATCTTGCTGATTCGCCGTCAGATAACCGTCCTGGACCGAAATATCCTCCGCTAATTGGGTCAGGCGTTGGGGAAGGCGGAAATGCCGGTAGCCCGCTTCCGCAGCCTTAATATAGCGGTCCACAGACCGACCATCAGCCAGTGTCAACCGACGTGGTTGGAAGGAAGGAGAGGTCACCGGTGGGGCCCCAAGAGTCGCTTCCAGGTCAATGTCAATCCAGAGTCCCCTGTGGTCCGACTTAAAATATTGCTGAAAGTCCAAGTATCCACCTGCAGTGACACAGACGCCGTCGGTCACAAATATACCATCGATGGGAGTATCCGTCGTCCGACTTTGGGTTGTCGCTGGGTAAGGGCCCTGATGTTGGCGTAAGATGGCCTCGGTCAGGCCTTCAGACCGCATCGCTTGGCGGAAGGAAGAGGGAGAGTTGTAGGAGACATCTTCGTTTGCATCTAAACCAAGGAAAATCTCACACCCTTCCGCTTTCCATTGTTTGATCAGGTCCACCAAATCCAGAGTGAGCTTGTCACGGGGATCCATAGTCACCCCCTTGCTCAGCCAGTAATTCCGTTGGTAGTTCCAAACACTACCAGCATTGGTACCTTCCTTGTTCGGACGATATGCAGAGACCACCACAAGATCTAAAGGACCAGCCGGGGGCCCATCAGTCTGAGACTCCTGCTGTCGGATGTCCCTGCCCCGGATCTTGATCCATGAGAACCTGCCTAGCCCTGACTCATCTTTGCCGCCTGACTTTGCACGGCGCGCGACCTTGTGGAGTAATGTAGCAGAACATCCGCCCCATTGATGCGCCGAGGGAGTTGGAAACTCCTGGTGTTCGTAGTAAGACACTGAAGAGAAATGTCCCTGGTTAGTGAAGGACTTGACCCAATCAAACCACTTGTGTCCTCTGGGCACTGCTGACCATTGAAGGTTAACTTCAGCCAGCAGTGCAATGCCCACTCTCTCATCCGTCCAACACTTGAAGAGACCTTCCTGTTTCTCATGTGTCATAGGAAATGGAAGACCCTGAACATTTTGAAAAAGGACCCGGGTAACGCGAGGAGACTTCTGGCGTGAGTGACATCTTCGTTTGCATCTAAACCAAGGAGAATCTCACACCCTTCCGCTTTCCATTGTTTGATCAGGTCCACCAAATCCAGAGTGAGCTTGTCACGGGGATCCATAGTCACCCCCTTGCTCAGCCAGTAATTCCGTTGGTAGTTCCAAACACTACCCCCATTGGTACCTTCCGTGTTTGGACAATATGCAGAGACCACCACAAGATCTAAAGGACCAGCCGGGAACCCATCAGTCTGAGACTCCTGTTGTTGGATGTCCCTACCCCGGATCTTGATCCAAGAGAACCTGCCTAGCCCTGTCTCATCTTTGCCGCCTGACTTTGCCCAACGTGCAACCTTGTTGAGTAATGTAGAAGAACATCCGCCTCATTGATGCGCCAAGGGAGTTTGTTAGAAGTAAGCGATCCACTGCCCCCTGCAATCTACCTGTTCAATTGACGGCGATTTAGCTGTCCAGGTATTGTTGCCTTCTAAGTATGTGAATTTACAGTATATAGAAGTATATAGATCTATCAGAGATCCTACTTTATCAACCAATTCACTCGTTGCTTGCAATATATTATAAAA